TGGGGCGATCCTACGACTCCCCTTCAGAAGCATCCTTTTTCCTGAGAAACCAGGTTAGGGAAGGTTTCAGCTCTGGAGAACTGCCCACCCTCCGCCCATCTCCCCAGCCCTCCCAGGCTGGGGCTGAGGATAAGTGTCAAAAGTAGGTCCTCTCCCTGTGGCCCGGACAGGAGGGCACCCACTTCACACCCCGCAACCCCCACGGGGCTTTTGCCGAGCACAGGCCGCCTCTACTCCGGCTCTGGCGGCAGGGTCCAGACGGGCAATGCCGCTCGCTGCCCTCCCCCTTCTTCAGCTAAGCCTCCGCCTGGCGCCAACCCACCCAGCAGGCTCTCCTGGGTGCCACGTGGGGACTTCCGGGAGCGGGGCGCCGCTTGCCGCCCGGGGCAGGGAGAGGCGCGGGGTCCGGAGCGCCAGGGCGTCTGCGCCCCACTCGCCACGACGCTTCAGGCCCTTTCAAGGTCCTCTGCTGCTGCGCTTTAACCCTCTCCTGGGGCTGCTCGGACGAGGTCCCTGACCCCAGGCCCCCAGGTTCGCCCGGTGCGTGGCTGCGAGCTGAGCACAGCCGCATTTCCCCCGCGCCCGCCGGCCCCCCCACCTCCGCCTGCCCCATCATTTCGGCCTTTGTCTGCAGGCCGGGGTCGCGGCGGCAGCCCCAGGAGCCAAGGGTGGCTCTCCGCCGGGCCAGGCCCTTTCTCGCCGCTCGGCCCTAAGGCCCCGGCCCGGCGCCGGGGACCGGCCGCGCGGGGCTGGCTCTCGGCCACGGGCGCGGGGCTCCCCGGCCTGATTCTGCTGGGGTTGAGATTTCGCCCTCCGGAATTGTTGGGCTTCTCTACCAACCGAGTGACAAGGGCCGCTGTGAGCCAACGCCGCTCAAATTGGCGCTCGTTTGTTTTCTTCGCGGCCCCCCGCCCTCCCAGAGAAGTGTGGGAAGTAAGGGGACAGCAGAGTGGCTGGAAAAGTTCCCCTCCTCCGGCCTCGTTTTTAAGAAAAAACGGGAGGCTTGGATCTGCAGCCAGGCACCCAGCGTCCCCAGGAGCTCTCTGCCACCGGAGATTTTGTCAGTCTAGCATCGGGGCTCTGAAAACACCGTGTCCGGAAGCCGTCTTTCCCCTTGATACATTCAGAGATCCCCCTTTGTGCAGAGCACCGGGGAAGCTTAGAGGATGGCTCTCCAGAAGCCGGGAGGGGGGGTTGCCGCCACTCTCCTGGGCCTGGCGAGAGGAGAAAGGATGGGGGTCCCGGGCCTCGGCCTCACTATGTTGGGGAGAAACAAATGTCCAGTGCTGGTCGCCTGTTCACACGGAGAAGCCCACCCTGCGGGACGGCCGCCGTCCAGGTGGGAGAGCGGAGCTGCGTGGCTCGCTGGGTGCAGGGCCGGCACCTCGGGTTCTGGAGAGAACACTTGGAAATGCGTCCCCCGCCTTCCCCGGCGCCCCCAGAAAGCACAGCCAGGCGGGGTCCCAGATCCCGCCTGATCGGTCAGCCCTCAAGCGTGTTTTAGAGCTTTCTGTGTTTGTAAGATTTATGGTTCCCTCAGCCCCGGGGCAAATCAACTTTCTGCAGCTTCCCCCCAGATTTTCTCACCCTCCACGCTGTACCTCTGCGTGGTGCCCACACTCAAGGGGCGCTCGCTTCCGGAATTATGTTCATGTTCGGGGTTGGCTTTGAGTGGCCTGATGCTCTCTAATGATTTCTCTCCTCATTTCCTCTCCCC